CAATTTTGTACTCAATGGAGAGAGAGATGATTTGGTTTTAGAAAAGTTTCTTATTGTGGGACTATTTGTAAACGTGAAATGCCGTTCATAAAACGTGATGACTCTGCATTTGCCAATATGGCCTGTAAGGTTAACACAATGGATCAAATCCAATAGTAAACTTTTATGAACCCTTTACGGTTTCTCTTAACACCATAGAGAAATTTGTGGTTTTCCATACGCGGAAAATATACGGCTTGCCGTGTGGAAACCCTAAATCCAAGTTTAAAGGCAGAGCGGGTTCAAAATTATTCGGGAATTGGAAAAGATTTGAAAACCAAATTATACACTTCCTTCGAGTTTATGATTGGAAGAAGGCGTAAGTTTCTACCCAATATGCAGAAGAATGAATGGTAGGGGGTGCTCATCGATCTTTCATACGGAACTCACTCGTTTCGTTGTGCCTTAAGGGCTCTCTCTCGAGCCCAGTCAGCAACCGCACAGCGGCGCATGATATATGAATGAATGAATGTGTTCATGCATGTTTTCCATGAAATATAAGTGGACATTTAGGGACATCGAAACTCAATGAGAAAAATTCATGCTAATTTATCAGTCGTTTTTTACAGAGTATAGTTTTTGCATTAAGGGACATCGAAACTCAATGAGAAAAATTCATGCTAATTTATCAGTCGTTTTTTACAGAGTATAGTTTTTGCATTAAGGGACATCGAAACTCAATGAGAAAAATTCATGCTAATTAAGCAGTCGTTTTTTATAGAGTATAGTTTTTACATGCAGCCGGAAGGACGTTCACTCGAAAGCCGGCATCCTGTGGTAACTGAATTATTATAAAACTATGCTGTAGGTTGATTAGTTTTATAACCCTGCTTAATTAATCTTTTCGAAACGAAAACGCACTTCGGAATTTCGGTTGACATTTCATGAGTTAAATCACCTACTGTAATTGGGTGCAGGTACCTGATCGAGGTCTTTTTCATAAATACGGATATTGAAATTCGAATGTACTCAGGCAGTGCGTTTTTGGTAAAGCAATTAAGAAAACGCCGTTTAGCCTACTCCACTTTACACCTTATGTACAGATTACGATGACTGTTCGAAACGTTGTTTCACCTCCCAGTTGATGACCATTGGTCACTTCGGTGGACATTTTACGAGCACTTTATGTGGCACTGTCCAAGCATAAGGGTAATTTCATGGAACCAGTAGCTGCCCTAACTGTCAGGTGCCTGTTTATCCAAACTGACAGCAGAACGGCTACACAGCAGATAAAAGCTCATATTTCAAGGAACGTACGTTGAAATTCTAATTGTCTGTCCGTCTCGAGTGTGAGATGATTGAAAATCCAAAGGTTCTTCCTTTATAGAGGGAGGCTCGTTTTGTCAATAATTGGGGAGTATTTCGAAATGTGCTTGAAGTACATAAAACTGTATCAACGAAAGGGGGTAAAGATAATCTATTTCAGTGTTCGGTAACTGACTACCTTAAGAGAAAAGTTGTGACAACTGTATAACTGTGTCAGACTGCGCTGTCTGCCGTGCTCCGAAAACATTGCGTCATCAGACCAGTGGCAGTAAATGTGCAGTCTGTCGCTCGCGACGTTTATTTGTTGGCAGAGTCCACCCTAGACTTTAGACGACATTTCTCTGACCCCACACATGTTAGTGTCTAGGGGAATTATCCAACTGTTCAGAGTTTTAAGATCTTAGCCATACGGAGTTGATATTACATAACTTGATGTTTCGAAGCAGGCAGTAGCTTGAACTCTGACGTTCTGCTGAATATCCCGAAATTAGTGCTGGTCGATTTAAAGGTAAGTCGGCCTACAAGAACTCGCCCAACGTCGAGATTGCGAACACAAGTGCTCCTGAGTCTCTATACCGAGAATTTTTAACGGTTAAGGTTCTTCAACAGAGTGGATCTTGTCTTTTTAATTTAAGAATGAACCATATCTTGGTTGTTCGCTAGTAGTGCTAGCGAAGTGAACTGTCTCTTACTTGATGCGCTTCTATAATTGGGTGAGGTATGAAAAGAAGTCTCAGGAGCGCGGCTTAGTGTTGTTCGAGATGATAATTCATAATTGCAATTTGCCTCTTGAGCAATCATAAAAACGTCAATTGTAGCTTCGTGGAAGGTTAAAAAGTTTTGTGTGTACGCATCTTATTTTCCGAAGGTTCAGCAAGAACGCAATGGCCGCCGCATATAAAGGCGCACGGGGTAAAGATTCACCGATACGTATACTATCTCCAACCAAGATCAGAAGTCCCCTGACCCCCTCACGCAGTCTGCCTCGCACTGGAAACGCAGCGGCCTGGGATCAGCAATCTCCTTTTGGCGACAGCAGTCTCACCCGTGTGGCCCGCTGGGTGGAGTCGGTATCAAAAGAGAGTTCTTCGGGGTGTCTCGGACCGATCACGTGTACATTATCAACTTTCAAGGACCCTGTGACAAGCCCAATGCCAGGCCACCAGCTAAGGCGCCTCCCACCGTCGCGTGCACCTCCTGCTGGGGCCATTGCGTCTGCTGCTATTACATTGGATACGGAAGTCAAGATTCCCCAGGCAGACCCCGGCTCCAGAATTGGTTCCGCCCCTGCTGAGCGCTTCCCTTCTCCTCACTGTCTCACCACTATCAAGTCACTCAAAGAGAATACAACCGCATCGCAACGTCAGATTCACAGTGGAACGAGAACAGATTCAACAAGATGTGATTCCCGAAAACCCGATGGAGCCTCAGATCCTGGACTTGTCCGGGAACCCCATCCCCACTCCACGGAGAGGAAACAGAAACACCAGCAGGTATCTAGCAGTGAGTTTTGTCAGGCGGAATTACCAAGGCAGCGGGTGGTCAGTAAGAGACAAACAAGGTTGCGGAGGTTTGCAGATTTCTTTGTCTGCTCTCCCAACGTCCCCACACGTCAAAATGCTGCAGCGGCAGCTGGCCCAAGCACACGCCCATCCACATCTCGAGTTCGAAGGATGTGTGCTCCCTTTTTCTGGCCTTCCCTGGCAAGAGATGCGCGAGAAAGTGAACTCTCAGATGATGTTCTGTCCGTTGATTCAGTGGGAATGCTCTTCACTACATCCATACACAGGAAAGACGATAGGAGCATATCCTGCTCTCTACAGGTGAAAACATCTCCCTCTGAAATCGCCCATCAAAATACAGAAACACCAGTACGTACCCCACTTAAATCCGAAAACGGATGCAAATCGGAAGATCCCCATCCCCCTGAAAAAGCAGAAGTAAGTCAAGCGAACACTTCAGATGTTTATTAAGCTTTAGAAATATTTGCTATATATGCATGCCGTCTAGTGGACGCGAACAGCAAAGTCCTCGTAAGGTTTGTATGACGCCTCACACTCTTTTACAGGTGACGTTCATGTTGGCGCGCTGCTGTCTCCAGATCTATTCGTTCAGGCTGCACTGAAGGGGAGAGATTGCTGTTATAAAGGCCAGTACTTTTCTCACCCCCCTCCCCCCGTCTTCGGGGCCGGTGTCGGCACGACAGCCTTCATTGCCCTCATCCAAATTGTCCGCATTTGTTGTCTTAGACCCGCCTTATACGTCCTTGCCTACACTTATCGGAAAACACCACAATTAGGGTTGCTGAGCCAGTGTCGACGGCCACATTCTTATCGGGCTGACGATCCCTAAATGTCGCCAGATAAACAGACTTAATTATTTGCAAAGAACCGAAGATGGAGTAGGGGAAAGATGACAAAAAAGGGGGAGGCGACATCTTCCATCTGACTGCCAACGTTATAGCAATTGAATTCGCACAATGCCTTTTAAATTCAGTCTTATCACTGTGGGGAGTTGTTTAAATGACGCGATTGACTTAGGTGGACAGCGCTCGGAAAGCGGATAATGGATGGATATGTTTGTGAATGTAGTAATCCTTTAAGAACGGCACTTTCACATGTACAGATCACAGCTGCTCACTCGTTTCATGCGGATATTTGGTTTGCGTCTGCGGGAAGCAACGTAGCGGTGCCCCGCGTAAGCGGACCGTTGAGCTTTGTCGCCAACTTGCGTCCAATCCCAAGATTTGACCATCGATCGGAACAAATAGCGGACTTCCGCATGAGATAGGAGGAAAGGGTTAGGTTGAATTAGCGCATTTTCTGACTCTGGGCAATCCAACAGGCTTTTTAAATTATCACGATATGCCCAAAGTCATGGCTAAGCAGGACGTCAAATTACAGGATATTAGGTCCTCTCCAGAAGGAGAGTCAGGCTGCAGTGGCTTATTCTTAATGTGGCTTCCAGGACATACACTCTGGTGGGATTCCAGACGTCCCCTGTTTCTGTGAAAACCTGGCCCATCACGCGTGGTAAGCTTAGAGGAGCTGTTAGCTTCGTCCGCACTGCGCTTGATCCAGTCTCTGGTTGTCCTGACTTAGTCGAACCGCTGGGCCCTGGTTAGCGAGGGAGGCGAAGGGGTGGCAGATGTTGCACAAGTCTACTATCAAAATGAACTAATTCACTCGTAAGTCACCGTGTCGGCGCACGCCATGCTGTGGGCCCCTAAAATTAGTCACGCAGGAGACCAACACAGAAGCAAGATCGGAGTATGCCGGACATTGTTGGTAATGTTTATCCCTAAGAAATCTTAACGTTGGGGGAGCGGTGGAACGCCAGGTGCAGTCTCGCTCCGCGCCAAATAGGACCCGGGCTGCCCGTCTTTTTTATGGTGTAAAATCCTAACCAGTGGACGTTGTGGACCGTGGGATGTTGTGGTACATCCAGGTGGGTGTTTTCGTCATGTCAACCACCAGCGCCTTCTCTCACCTTAGTTTTTCTTTACTCCGTCTTGACACCTGGTCTGAGTGGAGGAGGGGAGAGAGTGTGATGGATGCAGCGTAAGTATACTGTCTCTTTAAACTAACGCGCAGGTCGCCGTCCTTGCTCTCATCCTGCCGTTGATCACACGATGGGCGTCTTCGATCACGAAGACTGAACTGTCAGATAGCATCGTTCACAATGGTTGAACTCCCAACCGTTTAAATGTTAAGTTGCCCAAGTTCTTTTGAAGATAAGTTGCATTCATTGGCGGTGACGACTAAATATCCATCTGTTTCCTTTAGACCGCAGTAACTCGAACGTTCACTTTTGTTAGAGGCTAAAAATTGTCGCTGTCATAGGACTAGTAACCAAACTTACAGAGCTATAGATTTCATTTTGACGCCGAGAGGTACGAAGCTATTCGTGCTTAGCCCATATGACTTTGTTACAGTGAGACCTATACTGCAGTTTTCAAGTAAACTTAAATGCCTTCTAGACATTGGTAACAAGTAGACTAGCATCAGAGTCTGACTTTCAAGGTCGGCAGGCAGTTGTGCGTATTAAATAAAATGACATATATGAACACTTGTGCAGTACCATCCAAGTGCAGGGTGACAAACTCTTAAAATGCTGTACGTTGTGCCCTTTACGTTTTGCAGCGTTGCTGAAAGTCATCCAAAGATATGTTGTAAATTGCTCTTACTATATGTGCATTGATGATTCAAACTATGGAAATCACTGCTCACTTTAGCATATTCCCCTTATGAATTTATTCATGCTGTTGTGTATGGTCACAGCGCGATAGTTATTCCTGTTGGATAGGAGTTGTTTTGAGCAGCATACAGTATTGATTGGTTAACGGCCAGTTTTTCAAAATATCTTTGGAGCAAATTTGTCCAAAATTTACTTCAAAGAAACCATTACTACCTTAAGGGAGTTGTATTTAAGGTATACAACTCAGTACCTACATACAATACATAATCAAAAAATCCACCCCTTATCGTATTTTCAGAAATGTAGAGCTTCGTTTTAACCAACGAACAATTAGGTTTAAGCATATTAACCACATGTTATTTTTGATGCTGTACTCATATTCTACGGTTGAAAGTTTGCCTCCCCACTTTATTTTCCAGGACCCTGACAGTCCTTGGCTCGGTTTCGTTCCGAATCCACGGTTTACCGACTGTGCTGTACAACCTTTGGCAGGGTCAGCTGGTCTCAGTCTGCCAGCGAAACTTCAGAGCAGTGTGTCGATGAGACAAGATATGGCTTCTTTGGTAGTAAGAACAACAACAGGGGGCAATACTGTCCCTATAACATACAATGAGGTCACGATACATGGTTCCGAGGAAAATTATATCGTTCCCACCACAGCTGTGATCCCGAATAACCAAAAAATCGACTTAAATCCCATTCGTCAACGACCCATAAAAGTAGTTTCACCAACATCGGCCAAATGTGTCTCTCAGAGCTCCAGCAGCGGTCTGGGAAGCGAACACAGTTGTGCAGACTCAGCTGTTCGCACCCATATTGTCAACGACTTTGCTGCAGCGCCAGCAGATCTCAACACACCAACAGTTCGTTGCTACTGCAAACCACATGCCGGACGGGTTTTTCGATGCAAAGCTCGTGGACGCTACGGTCACGCTCCTTGTCTCACCGAGCACTCTGATGCCTACATGCAGTTTGTTAAAGGATCTCCTCAGACAGAAGTTCATAGAACACTACCCTACCTAGCGGATCCCGATCTCCCCAACGATGACATCTCCACTGGACCTTCTCCTGTCATCGAGGGCATAGAACAGAGGTGTTTTGCTGGAGGTGGCGGCCACGCAAGCAGTGGTTACGAAAGCATTCTGCGAGACAGTGAGGTATCTTCCCATTCCGAGTCAGCAAGTGAGAGCTCAATGGGGCGTCTACCAGCTACTGTAGGAGCCTGTCAGTGCGGAGCCTTGGTGCTGTCACCGCTACAACAGCAACTGTCTCCTTTGGAAAGTAAGAACAGAGACGACGCAGCCTGTCAGACCTCGCCCTTCCCCTTGGAATATGCGGGCTGGGGTAAAATAGGAACGCCTGAAGTCAAAAACGTCCAGTCAGCATTGGAGGGCTCCTTGACGTTAACAGAGTCCTTCAGCGAGGCAACTGCATCCGTCATTATGGACAGTTCGACCATATCAAAAAGTAAGTACTCACCTCTTGTCGTAAAACAAGTTGCAGTTTTTTGACGATACTGCAAGACAGAGCGATTTCTCTAGCCTCTAAAAAATAGAAGTCATCGTATTTGAGCAGTTCCCAAAGGTAGC